TATAAAGATCATGGTCGCCACGAAATCTTCGCACGCGGTAAAGAAGTTCCGATGCAGGACAAATCGCACGGTTTGGTCTTGAACGAAGTTGACTTACAACGTCCGAACAAACCCGATATGGAAGGTCCGAAGACGGCTGCCGAAGAAATGCAGATGATGCGTAAACTTTATCAGCAGATGGTTCTCGAAAAGAACAACATCAAAGGCGAAAACCTCGTCCAGATCGGCGGCATCAAACGCGAAAAGAAAGATAAAACCGAAGCACAAGCATAATTCGGCTTTCATCTAACCAACAAACAACAAAAGCCCTGCAAGAAATTGCGGGGCTTTTCCAATTTCTAACGTATGCCGAACGAAATTGAAAAAGTGCCGACCGATTGTGAAGAGTTGCTACACGATTGTGAAGAAGTGCTATGCAATTGTGAAGAGTTGCTGACCAAATCCGACGAGTGCTACGCAATTGTGAAGAAATGCTGACCAAATCTAACGAGTGCTACGCGATTGTGAAGAGTTGCTGTCCGATTGTGAAAAAGTGCTGACCAAATTCAAGAGTTGCTGTCCGATTGTGAAGAGTTGCTGACGAGATTTAAGAGTTGCTGACGAAATCCGACAGGTGCTATGCGATTGTGAAGAAATGCTGTCTAAATTTAAGAGTTGCTGACCGATATTTAAGAATTGCGGTTGAATTTGTAGAGATGCCTGTCAAAATTCAATGGATTCCGAACAAATGTCAGAAAATATCAACGAATAATGAATTTGAGTTTATTGTCTTTTACCGAGCAATTTTTTACCCTCTGGATGCAGTAAAATCAACTGATATATCGGATTCTGTTTTAATACATAAAATTTTAGATAGATAAAACTTCCGATAAGAAAAACCAGATTAGGTGAAAGGAGGAAAAGAAATTGCGCTATTGCCCAGTCTATTTTTTGAGAGTAATAGAAATAGCGATATAAATCTTGAATAACAAATACTGATATCGGCGAACAAAAGAAAGCTATGAAATGAAGAATAAGAAATTT